GCACGACGGCTGGCTGCTGGGCGCGCCGAAGCCTGCGTGCCACGACCGGCGCGTGCGCACCGCCGACGCCATCAACCGCCTGCGCGCCACGCGGGACGGCGAGATTGGTGCGCGCCGCCCACGCATGCGACACGCGAATGCACACGCGCGGCCCTGCGCGCTGCAGCGCTGCCGCACACCACGGGCGGGCCGCCGCGCCACGCCGCGCCGCGCAGCACCCCCACTGCCGACTCCCCTCGGCATGCGCTCTGGACTGCTTGCCCCCCACCCCAGTCCGCACACCGGCCGCACGGACCCCTCACCTCGGCGCCGACCCTCTCCGCCCCGCGCCCCCGTAGAGTCTATGCTGCGCCTGCTGTGCACCGTTTTTGATACCGACACGGGCACCTGCGCGCTGCTGACCGGCGAGTGCATCTACATCGTCGGCGGCTGCGGCTCCCTCTGGCCGTGCATTTGCCCAGACCGATGGGTGCGTGCACGCGCCGCCGGCCCCGCCGCCGCCCCTCTGCGTCCTGCGGACCTGCAGCGGCCCCGCGGCCGCGCTGGCTGACGCAAGACCTCGCACAAAGCGGCGGCAGCGCCGCCCGACCGCGCCCGACCGCGGGCGGGCGCCGGCGAGCCCCCGGCCGCGGCCGCCACGCCCGCGTGCGGGGCGCGCCCGCAGCAATATCGGCGCGCACCCGACACGCACCCTGCGATCAGCCCGTTTGCAAAGCCATGCGTGCCAGCCGGTGCCCCCCAAAATGCACGCCCACCTCAATCCGCCGCCACCCACTCACCCACACCCCCAACCCCCGGCCACCCTATCCGCGCCGCCGCCCCCGCAGGGCTTTTGCGGCTGGAGCTTCCTCAACGCAGTCCACGAGCTGTTAGTCATTGAGGACATGGACGCCGACGCGCGGTTCGCAGCCAACTACTTTGTGGTGGACCCGCAGTTCACGCTGAAGTTCTACGTGGCCGCCCCGCTGCTAACCACCGACGGCCACCGCCTGGCAAGTGGCGCCCACGCCGGGGGCGCGCGCGGGGGCCCCCGCTGCGTCCCCTGTGCGCCCGCGCCAGCGGCGTCGCTCCAAGCGCCGCGCTGCTTGGCGGTTGCGCCGCGGCGCCGCGGCATGGTCGTAGTGCGGGCGGTGGCGCCTCCTGGCGCGTTGCCCCTTTGCTGCAGGATCGACCTCCCACCCCTTCAAGTATCAACAACCCCAACGCACTTCGAACCTGCCCCGCTGCGCAGGGCACGCTCTGCGTGATGGGCAACAAGGCGCAGCGCTTTGACGCGACGCGGGCGCAGGTCCTCGCGAACCTCGCGGAGATGATGGTGGGCCTAACCAATCGCGCGTTTCCCGCCGATTGCGGGACGCCAAATCGGGGGATCCTTCCGCGCCGCCCTCCCGCGCGGCCGGCGGCCGCGCCGCCCCAGCCCCCCCGCCCCGGTC